TAAATATATTATATACATATTTAAGATGAGGTGGATTAATGGACAAGTAGAGTTAATAGATACCTGATAAAACAAATATTGTAAAATGTTGATAGAATGTAGGTGCTAGGTATGTTGGTGTTGAATGCCTTATATTTTAAATTTTTGAATAAAACATGGGGAAAAGAGAACCCCAATATAAAGATCTCATTATCCTTCGACTCCCAAAACACCACCTTCCTTAATTGTCTCTTTTCCCTGTTAAGCATTTCCATTGGTTATAGAATTCATCATTAGCCCCTACAAATTATTCTCACTCTGTCTTTTTATTAATGGTCATACCATCCATCTAGTTGTGAATATTCCCAGTGTAAAAATCATTATTCTTTCCCATCTTTCTCCATTGTCCTCTAATCCAATTAAGTCTAAATTCTTCTAATTTTCAATATATAGTGTCTCACCATTAGTACCATTTAATTCTGCACCAAATACCTATATCCTAGTGGTTATGTCCATGGAGAAAAAAGGCAGTATCCTAAGAAAATAATTTGTATGTAATATAACAAGATATAGTCTTTTTACATGCTTGTCTATAGAATGTTTCTAATAGAGTACTGTATTAGAATTAGAATATCCTGTGTTACGTGTTTGAACTCTGAATTCCAGCCTCACTTCCTCTTAAGTTTGTATCCTAATGACTTGAAACCAATTTTGTATAATTTACATGCATACTTCCTATCCCAGAAAACAGAAAGATAAGTATTCTATAATATGATTGGCCTGTCTAGGCAATTGGTCCTGCTAAATGAACTGTGCTAAAATTATCATCATTTTGGTAGATATCTGTCACTAATTCTATCACATTATCCATTTTCCTGTAGGCCCATTTTACAAGTAATTTATCTTGGAAGATTCACCAACGAGTGAAGTTGCTTACAATTAGATGCCCCATGGGTACTTCATTAACTTCTTTTCCCTGATGCATATACTAGTGGGCTGTTGGTAACGTCTACCTTAAAATTTTCCCTTGTTAAATAATTGCAGCTAAGATACAGTATTCTGGAGCTTCAGTTATCTGTCTATATGCTGAAATGGAACTGATTTCCATGGAGATTTTGGCTCTGTCAAAAACATTTTCTCCCCAAGAAGATAGGGTGGCCATTGTTATAAAGCCTTCCTCCTCCTTTCCCTCCTATTCTCTTCCTCTTTCTCCCCTTCTTACTAACCCCCCCACCCCCCGTCCTATTCTTTTCTTCTTTTTCTTTTTTTGGTGGTATTGGGGATTGAACTCTAGGCCTAGGCAAGTACCCTACCTTGTGAGCCATGACCCCAGTCCTTTTGTGCTTTTAGTTTTTTGCTTTGTTTTTCAGATAGGGTCTTACGCTTTTTGTCAGGGCTGGCATCAGACTGTGATCCTCCTACTTCTATGACTGCTTCCTAAGTAGCTGCAAGTTTAGATATGCACCACCACACCCAGCCCCTTCATGGATTTTTTTTTTTATAGCTACAAATTATTGAGTGCCTATTCTGTGAGGCACCATGCAAGGTGCTTTCAGTGCATCATTTAAATTTAATCCTACCCCAAGGAGACATTATACTTATTTTAAAGATCAGGATACAGAAACTCAGACAAGTCACTTAGCTAGTAAATGGCTGTAATAGGGTTAAACCCCAGGTTAATCTGGTTTTAAAATCTGGTGGCTTCACCCTACTGGGGAATTTCCCACTATGTCATACCCTATACAGCCTTCAGCATCTGTGTAGATACACTGATAAATATTTTTGCCTTTATTCTAGGCTTTATCTTTCTTCCTCACTTATTATTGCTTCATCAATTTCCTTAACTATTTACTTTTATACCTTTGTTATGACCTATTTTTAATAAAGTGCCTAAAATCCTTTTGGATTTATATTCCATTAAGGCAAAAGAAAAAAGAAAAAAACCCCCCATTGAAGCCCTATACTAATTACTTTTACTTAATATTGGCTGGGTTTTCTCATCTTCTTTGCTTTTATTAAATTTTCAGGTTCTGTTCTAGTGTACATACTGCTTAAGTTAGCAAATAAACAAGGAAAGCTATTTTAAATTGCCTCTGCTGCTTCTAAACAGTGAAGAAACTGACCACAGGCTTGCAGGACCACGTTTAGCCTTGGTAGTTAATGAATCTTCATGATACTCCCCTTCTGTGAATGGGACAGGGTCTGACATGTAGCTTGCTGCTGTCCTGGAACCACCTCTTTTCAGTTCTTCAGATTGCTCTAAAATCCTGAAGGTGCTTGTTTACATTCTTAGAAGGGACAGGTTGTCTCCTGATAGGAACCACCACTTTTTGCCAGTTTTAGAAGCTGTTCTTTTGCACATGCTGCCTTTTTCTAGATGGCCCAAGTTCGTTATCATAACAGAGGACCTGGTGTCAAATAGCCATTCAGAGGGAACATTCCGCCTTTCTGGTTTCAAGTGATTTTCTTGGTAACGCTGTGTGGGCCAACACGGAACACTGGTTTCCCACTTGCTCCTTTGGCTCTATGTGGTGTTAGGGTGCCAAGTTTTGTGATTGCATCACATTTTCTTACACGCATGTTTTTGTTATTCTTTCTCTGTTTTTCTTTTTTGTTTGGTTTGGTCTTGTGGCCTCCTTTGCCTTTCAGAAGTACCTTTGATTTTCTGTTGCTGACAATTTCAGGAGTTAATTAGCTGAGGTCCAGAAAATGTGTTGCTTAAATTCTCAGTGACTTGGATAAAGATGGAGGAGAAACACAAATGAGGAATCGTTTCATGCTAGTTGGATATTATTACAGGAGAACATTAAATGTTGCACTTCTCTTATTCCAGATTCAAGTAATTACTGAAGCTCACATTGAGATATGGGGATAAGAGTATTCTTTGAAATTTTTCATCTCAAATTTATGCATACCTAAAAAAAAGGTTAAGGCAAGGAATTTTTTGCTTGCTTTGTAAATCATATTAACTCCTTCAATTATGGTGGTTTCCTCTTGCTATAATCATGCCCTCAGTTTGCCAGGGTGATTGGTTCCAGGATCCCTGTAGGTGCTCAGGTGCCTTATATAAAATGGAAGATTTGCATATAACCTACACATATCCTCCTGAATACTTCAAAATCATCTGTAGATTATTTGTAACATCTAATACAATACCTACATATCACTTCATTCACATGGACTCAGCGTAGTACTCAGTGCAAGGCATAGCTTTCAAGCTTTGGTTTTTGGAAATCTCTGGAATTCTTTTTTCCCTAGGTGATTTTGGTCCATGGTTGATTGTACCTACAGATGTGGGACCCATAGATGTGGCAGGCTAACAGCAATGCAAGTTTCCCTCTTATGATTTCCTCTTCTCTCAGGGATTCAGAGTGGACATTTTTAAGAATATTAGTGAGCCTGGCACATAAAGCTGCAGTTTGAGTGTCTGGTATGGTAGTGGGAGGATTCCAGGGAAGAGGGAAATTAATGAAAAGTAACAGGTAGCTTAAATTCTTCTGATAAAACATTCCAGTGGTTCTGCCTCTTACTACTTTTTCCTTGTGTACTTCATATTTAGGAAAGATTTTTCTTACTAATCAAAGTGAACTGAGTATGTATTTTGGCTTCTCACTTTATCAACAATATGGAAGTGTCAAATTAGAAAGGCTAATGAACAGGAGGTGACAATGGTGTCCTAGCAACGACAAAGATATTCAATGATGAGCCCTCACTCTCACTGGAGTAAAAGTATGATTTCTATTGGATGTGGTCAAGTATTAGTGTCTCTTTGGGTTCAAGTGGCCTAGAGAACATTTATAAAGACAGAGCTCTGGGAAAGGGAGAAGCTTATCTCTTCGCATTCCTCACCAAATTATCTGCTAGTTTTTCAAACTATATGTTACTCATGTATTTTGAACCTTTCTCCCTAAAATTATACTCTACCACCTACCAAGTTTCCAGTCCAATTTGGTCTGTTAGGTTACAACAAATATTTCTAAGACATCAATGGCCTCATTTGTGATTGGTAGATAAGAGAATGAACTTAATGTAACATTGAGTTGTTCTAGCTCCAAGGCATGGGCTGTGGGATAGCAGAAATAAACTTTTAACTGTAAGGGCTGGGTACAGTTGCCTAGCAAATGTGAGTTCAAACCCCAGTACCACAAAGTTCTTTCACTTTAGTTCTATTTTTAGAGAAATAAAAGGAGTGTGTGCACCTAGGCTCCTCCCTAAAGTGGTGAACCCCAGCCTTGCATGATTCTGGGCCCTGCCTAGCAGGTTGCACTTTCTCCTATGCTCAGAGCTTTTCTGCCCCTGCTTTCCTCAGCATCAAAAAGGAGAATACTGCTTGACTATGTAACATCCCAAGGCAGCCTCTACAATGTGATGAGTTGCCTGCCTGGGCCCCAGATTATCTCTGGAGATACAATTATTGCTTTTGTTGGTGCTTTAGGTATAAAGATGAACATGTTTTCCTAAGCTTATTTTTTTGACATAAGTTCTGTTCTTTTTAATGAATATTTTGCAGGATGCATTGCTTCTTAGGAACATGTATTTTGTATTATAATAGACATTCTGTACTTTGTACTTACAGATGTTTAATAAATATAGTCAGATTATTGTAATTAATTAACTGCATCACAGGAATTTTAAAAAGTGATTCCAAGGAATGACTGTGTTGACATTGAACCTAATTACAAGAATTGAGCAAGATCATTTGACTCTCAGTTAGAGATGAATCAACTTAGGTTGTAACACATTTGTACATGAAAGCAAAGCTAGGAATCTCTCTGTATAGCTATCCTTACCTCAACTAGCAAAAACACTTTGTCTTCCTTATTATGCTTATGTCTTCTCTTCAACAAAATTAGAGATAAGGGCAGAACAGGTTCTGCCTGGAAGCAAGGGGGAGAAGAGGGGAGAAGGGTAGGGGAAGGGGGGAAGGGGGAGAAATGACCCAAACAACGTACGCACATGTGAATAAATGAATAATAATAATAAAAAAATTTGACTCCCTCAAATCTCCAAAAGCCATTTTTATTTGCATGATATATTTATCACTACTGTTTTAGAGAAACAGAAGGTAACGTTTCATTTTTGAGGACTGAGGAACAATCATTCATGAGTTCTTGAAGTTGAATAACTGGAAACTGTACTTGTTTTTCAAACCATTTGGCAATTGTGAGAAGCTGCTGGTCACAAAATGCACGGCCAATAAACTGTAGTCCTATTGGCAGCCCTTGGCTTGAGAGGGCCACAGGGACACTTACTGCGGGCAATCCTAAGGAAAAGAAAGCCATTAGGTGATAAATTCTCCATCCTAAGGAGCAAAGACCTCTTCTACTTTCTGGTGCTAGGAGTATAGGCAGAATAAGCTTTTTAATTTTTTAATGTCATATTACATATATGCTTTTGTACCATACTATGTTCACTTAACAATGCATCTTGGAAATCACACTGTCTCAGTTCAGAGATCTTCATTTCCATTTTTACAGCACTATCACACTCCATTATGTGGTTTTACCATAATTTATTTATTCAATCAGTCTCCTACAGTTGGGCATTCATTTAGGTTATTTTCAATATTTAGCTATTTTATACATTGCCCCAGTGTACAACACCTTCTGTATGAGTTTTCTGCTATTCTCAAAACTTTTTCAAATGAAGTATTGCTTCATCAAAAGATAAATACATATGCAATTAGAAATTCTCTTCCAAAGAAGAAGTTGTACCAATGTGAATTTGTACCAGCAAAAGGAAGTTTCTTTTACTACAGCCTTGCCAACAGAGTGTGTAGTTGAGTTTTTAAATTCTGGCCAATCCATTATATAAGAAATTAACTCAGAGTAGACTGAATTACAGATTTTAAATGCATTAGCTTGCTGGTGGTATGGCTTAAGTGATAGAGTGCTTCCTAGCAAGCATATAGCCCTGAGTTCAAAACCCAGTACAGCCAAAAAAAAAAAAAAAAATCAATAAACTGGATGGGCGTGGTGATGCACACTTGTAACTGTAATACCAGCTGTTTGGGAGAGAGTCATGAGTTTGAGGCCAGACTGGGCAATATGCCAGACCGTCTCAAAAAAAATAAATAAATAAAAAAAAATTTGTTAAACGCATAGGCTCAGGGTAGTTTTAATTTCAGGTTTGGGATAGAAAAAGTACCAGTTACTAGGACATCTTGCCATGTCATAAAACAAGAATGTTTTCCAAAATTAAAATGGAAACAGATCTAAAGGATACATACAATTGAAAACTGGCTATTTATATTTCAGTACTTGGGAGGTGGAGGTAAGAATATCACAAGTTTAAGGGCAGCCTAGGCTACACAGTGAAACCTAACTTAAAAAAAAAAAATCCCAGCTACCCAGGAGGTAAGCCATTCAAGGATAGCCCAGGCACAAATGTTTGCAAGACTGCATCTCAACCAACAAACTGGTCATGGTGTGGTGGTTCACTTTTGTAATCCCAACTACACAGGAGGCATAGGTAGCAGGATTGTGGTCTGAAGCCAGCCTCATCCAAAAGTGCAAAACCCTACCTTAAAAAATAACTAGATCGAAAAAGGTTGGGATATAGCTTAAATGGTACGGTGCTTGCCTACCAAGTATTTAAGGCCCTGAGTTCAAATCCCAATACTGCCAAAATAAGGAACGCTCTTACTTAGAGAAGGTGCTAGCTAATCAATGTGAAGGGATGATAGAACTGGAGCAGTCAACATTCTGTAATGATTAATTCAGGAGGGATTATCAATGGTGCTATACCTGGGTTAAAGGTTACTGGGAAGTAAGATATTCACATGGTCTTAAAGTATCACTCTACACATTGCTTATAAGTGAAAAAGGAAAAGTGCACCTTAATAAGGAAATCCCTAAACAAGCGATCAACTTAGTTTCCAAAAATGAGCAAAATGACAGCAACTGCTTCCTGATGTAGTAAGTATGTAGTATTTCTGCCAAAAGTGTTTAAGATAATCTGACAAACACAGAGTATGGATGGGGCATCCTACAGGACAAGTGGACTGAACTCTTTAAAAATGCTGGTATCACCAGTTATGGTGGCACACACCTATAATCCCATTACTTGGAGGCAGAGGCAGGAGGATGATGAGTTCAAGGCCAGCCTGGGCTATATAGCAAGTTCAAGGTCAGCCCACGCTACCCAGTAAAAACCTGTCTCAAAAAAACCAAGGGCCAGGAATGTAGCTTAGAATACTTGCCCAGCATGTGCAAGGCCATTGGTTTGATCAGCAGCACATTAAAAATAAATAAATAGTCATTACCACTTAACAGAAAAAAAATGTAAAAGGAGGGGCCTGCTCATTAGAAACTAAGCAGGATGACTGGGCGCTGGTGGCTCATGCCTATAATCCTAGCCACTTGGGAGGTTGAGATCAGGAGGATTGTGATTCAAGGCCAGCCTGGGAAAGCAGTTTGAGACCCCATTCTCACTCAATGCCTGGGACATTGTGTGTCTGTCATCCCAGCTATGGTAGAAAGCACAAGTAGGAGGACTGCAGTCCAGGCCTGCCCCTGCTCAAAGCAAGACCCTATCTCAAAAATAACCAACACAAACAGGGTTAGAGACATAGCTCAAGTGGTAGAGTGCCCACCTAGCAAGTGCAAGGTCCTGAGCTCAATCCCCGGTATCATCAAAAAAATCAAAAAAACAACAAAATAACTGTTTTGGTACAAGTGAGAAAATGTGAATATGGACTATATTCAGTTATTGCTGAATTAATATTAACTTTCTTAGATGTGATAATGGAACTGTGGTCATTCTTAGAAGATTCATGTGAAATTATTTAGGTATGACATGTCATCTCTACAACTTTTTAAAGCATTTTTAAAATGAAACTTAAAAAGTATTATTAAGTGTATTAGTTCAGAGTATGTGTATGTGTGTGCACATTGTGCATACTCACACATTCTTAAGTATTCCAGAAGGATAGGCTATTGCTTTTAGGGTACAATCCAGCTAGAACCTCAGTTGAAGATCAGGGTGCCTGTGTAAGAATTAGAAGAAAACCAGAATAATCACAAGGGCTCCTACCTGCCATGTTTACGGCCTGTGTAAAAATATCACCCTGGGCACTTCGTGTTCTGTTGTCTTCTTTGACGAACTCTAAGTATGGCACGGCATCACTCAAGGTAGTGGGGGTGAGCAAGACATCCACTCCAGAGTTAAAAACATTTGCAAAATCATTTGCAATGAGGCGCCTCACCTTCTGTGCTCTGATAAAATAATTCTCATAGTTCCTGAGGAAAAAACAGATGACATTTTAAGGATTTTAAAACAAATCATTCTTTTATATTAGGTTTGTTAAAGAACTACTGGATTCTTGGCTTTTATAAGCAGGCACCACAAAATTCTTGACAACACACAAAGATGAATTTTGTTCAACTTGTGCTGCTATTCTGAATGTTTGTATAGCTGGCACTTAATCAATTAGAACTCCTACTAAATACAATTCTATAGATATAACCACAGAATATTAATACTTCCAGTGATACCACTAAAAGTTAAAAAGATAACTTGAAAAGAGTAGATTCAAGAAAGGATGTTTACTTAAATAAAAGATTAAGGGAAAAGCCACACACAAAAGTGACCATAAGTCAGTGATGCAAACAAAAGGAAGAAGAAAACTTTTCAGATACTTCTGAAGTTGTTAAAGAAGGCTGGCAAAATAACTGCTCTATAAGTCAGTTTTTTCAGCTTTCAAAAATGATATAATGACTACAAGTCCCACAGAGGAACAAAGAAATGAGCGTCTATGGAAATATTGAGGTCCTCACTACCATTTGACTGCAGGGTCTACAGAGATATCAATGAGGCACCACACATAATTTACACAACAATGACAGTTGGTAGTCTAATTATTGTATTTGGGCTGGGATGAAGCTCAGTGGCAAATTGCTTGCCTAGACTTTGGATTTGATATTGTTTCATAACACCACCACCATTACCACTGTCCCCTCACAAATTGTATTAAGAGTATTTCCCAAACCTGAATTTTATAAAACTAATGTTTCCTACTAAAATTCTTCCTGCTTTAGATGTGGTTGAAAAGTATAACTTCTGCTTCCATACACAATGGAGTAAGAGGGAAGATTTATTCTGTCTTCATAAGCATCCAGAAAACTGGGAAAAACATATGAAAAACCACTGGTCATTGATGAGACCGATGGCACTCAGGAGAGTTCTGAGAGTAGAGAGTAATTAAGCCCTGTCATATCCCCAGCTTAATGCTTAGACAGAGTTTCTAGGCAGGGTTAAATTAGCCCTATGTTAAAGGCTTCTTTGGATTTACCTTAACAGACCTTTTTATTTTTGGTGAGACTAGGGTTTGAACTCAGGGTTTTGCATGCAAAACAGGCACTGTACTGCTTGAATTGCACCTTGTTCTCTACCACAGCTTTAACTTAACTGCTCCTTAGAGCAAAACACAAGCAAGAAAATAATAAAAATACAGCACATACAATGCAAAATTTAGTGTCTCGATGTACAAAGAAGCAGAAAATATGACCTATAACAAGGAAAAACAGCAATCGATATAAACATTCTAGTGGAAATGTTAAGGCCACTCTAAATATGTTCTACATGTTCAAGAATGTAGAAGGAAATACAACATGATAAGGAGTTTGAAAAGATTAGACCTACCTGGAACCTCTACAGGTGAGAAATACAATATATGAGATTAAAAAAACAAAAACAAAAATACTGGATAGGATTGACTGAATTCTGACAAAGCAGAAGAAAAGATCAGTGATTTTAAAGACAGTAGTGGAAACTATCCTTTAAATGGAAGTACAGAGAGAAAACTGAGGCGAAAAAGAATGGAAAACCCAAAGGGCTGGAGGCGTGGCTCAAGTGGTGGAGTGCCTGCCTAGCAACGAGGGGCCCTAGGTTCAATCCCCAGTACCAGTCAAAAAGAGAAGAGAAAATCTGTGAGTTGGGGGACAACAATGGAAGATTAATATACACATAAAAGGTGTCCTAGAGGAGGAGAGAGTTTAGAAACAATGTATGAAGAAATAATGGTCAAAATTTTTCCAAATTTACATGCAGAATGAAAAGTACTAGAGATAGTAAATATGTCAGCAAATATATTGTCCCTTTTTTCTCATTTTAAAATTCTTTAAGAGGAAAATTATTTGTAGAAAAAACAAAAGAATGGGCAGGAAAAGAGGTTAAATGAAAGAAAAGATACAACAAATAGGAGACAAATAGCAAGAGGCAGACTTACATGTGGTTCAAAAGTAAATGTTTATGCTAATTAAAAATAAAGATACACTCAGGATTCCTAATTCAATAAATCTCTGTTTACTGAACAAAAGGTAATAGAAGAATGATAAAATTCTAAACTGAGATATCACAGGATTAAAAGCATTATTTTTTTTTAGTTCTTGGCACATAAGTTGACTTTTTAAGAGTAAAAACAATAAGTACCCTGAATCCCATTTTTCCTATTCACTGCCACACTGCCACAAAACAGAACAAAGCAGAGAACAAATGAGTTGACCCAAGCTGGAACTGGGTTAGCAGCTAGGATACCAGAGGTAATTCTTCCTTTACTTAATACTCCCAACTGGGAACCATGGAAGATGCTTTGTGACCTTTCTTTCAATTTCTTTGTATGTGCTTACAGTGACCTAGACAATCCATCATCTGTGGCCTTTACACATCCAATATGAGTCTAATTAGTAATGTCTGGCAAATGTAACATCTTTAGCTTAACAAAGACTTTGCTTAGAAAATTTAATATTCCATTCTTCCTACTCCTAGGTGATTACAAGCACCTGGTCAATATGGAAAAGTTTTTTTAATACAGAAAATAATTAAATAGTATTTTTGGAAAAAGTAATCCTAATTGTTGGCCCTGAGGGGATGCACAGATGAATAAAATGTTTTTTTGTTCCTGAAGGCAGGAATACTACTTGTCACAAGATCCACATCTACTTTTTCACACTGCTCATGGTAGACAGACTCATTGGTAGGGAACATGAATCATATTCACAAGATCTTGAATAAACTTATGTTGAAGACAATTTAAGTAGGAGTCATAGTCATTTGGAATTCTTTCTTAGAGAAGACACATAAAGCAAAGGAAAATTAAGTATAGTCACTAAAATTTTCAAGAGATAACAAGCTCTAACAGCAGTAAGTCAATGTTGCAATAACATTCAAATAACAATATTTAAATATATGTAAATATAATCAAATACTATTTGGCTATATTATATATTAAAAGACTCTTTTTCATATTGACCAAATGCTTGTTGTGACTTGGGATTAGGAAAAATGAAATACTGTTAGGTTTTCTAAGCAAAGATTTTATTAGCTAAAGATGTTACATTTGCTAATATGACTGATGAGAATCATTAGAATAACAGAACAATTAATGAGACCAAAATCCTTCAGGGCTTCCTACTTAGTTTGCACTAATCATTTAGCTGGAGTATCAATTTTTTTTAATTTTTAAATAACTAGGAACCAAAAGTATCATATAAACAGGCCTTCTCTAATTCAAATCAGAAGGATTTTTTCTTTAATAAATATCTCAACTTACAGGACCAGACAGGTGTACAACTACTTTATTCTTGAGGTTTCAAGAATGGGGAAAATTCCTAAACTGATGTCTTACTCTTTCAATAGGAAAAAGTTTCCTGAGAGAATTCTTCCTCTAACCACATCATTGAACCCCTCTCTTCTGGTTGCAGCATACATTGCTTCAGTAGACACATCAATGTTACATCTGTGACCTACACACAGAAAAAAGTTAAATATTACTTGAAAAGGAAATAAAGTTTTGGCTGAAAATTTGGCTCAGATTCATACTTTTATGACCAATAAATATAAAAATTTAGGGAACTTGCCCTTATTAGTTTGTCTTCTCTGTCTGCCTTGTGACTGACCAGTTAAGGACTGATTATGGAGAAGAAAGGAACTCCATTTGTTTACTCCTGTTTCCATCTAAATGGTGACTGAATTCTACCTTATGTCAGGTACTATAATTCATGAAGTAAGCCCACAAAGACAAGATATTATCCCTTCAAATTAGTCACAGTCCAAAGAAGTAAATGAACAGATAGAGATTTATGATAAATAGCGTATGTACATACAATCCTAAAATGACAAATGTAAAATGATCCATGAATTTACTTTTCTGAATCATTAACATTATCTCAAGTAACAATTTTTTTGTCAGTAATAAATGAAACTTTCAAATGTCCAAGATATAACTACCTTAAAAATATAAAACCAGCCACCTTACCATATTCTAGCCCATCAAATCTTGCCATATTTGATGCCACTTCTGATGTGCACAGTACATGGTAGCAGACAATTGAATAACAGGTGTGGGGCAGGGATACTTCAATCACTTTGGCTCCCTCAGACTCAAAGAGGTCAGCAGCTTTGGACCAGAGAGATTGTACTTCACTTGATAATTCTGGCACAAGGTATTCCTTACAGGAAAAAAATCAACATACAGAAATTAGAACATCTATATAGATTTATGAAAATTTGTACACCAGGACCAATATACAACAAAAACTGATAATATTGCTGGAAGGTAGCTAGAAAGATTAAACCAAGAGTGTTTATAGTATGACAAGCACAGCCTAGATTTATGAGCTGGATGTAACAATTCAAAGACTGAAGATCTGGTTGGGAAACTCCTATTTGATAAATGTTTGTTACGTTATCAGGTTCTCTGTACATGCCTTCAAAGGTTCTCTCATTCAATGTTTTTGAAAACCCCATGGTAGAGGTACCATTCCTCATTTTATGAATGAAAAGTATTAAGACTAGAGAAGATAAGTAAATTTCCTAATGTTAAATAGCACGTCAATAGAGGATATAGGATTCCTAACTAGGTCTGTTTCTAAAGCCCATTCTCTTTCTCAATCCTTAGTAGTTACCCTATGGAGGACTTTTTTAAAAAGCAGCATTTCTCTATAGTAGTGATGTCACTTGAGGGCAATTTTTTGTTTTTTTTTCCCTCCCAACCAAGGGACATATTGGGAATGTCTGTTTCATTTTTGGTTGTGGGGTTGTGGTAGTAGTGAGGGGTGTGCTACCACACTTAGAAGTAGGGGCCAGGACAGTCCTCCAGAACAAAAAATTATTTAGCCCCAAACACCAATTGCGCTGAGGTTGAAAAGCCTCATTATTTCACAGGGTAACTTATCTTTTGAACAGATTTCTAAAAGGTTTTCAGCATTAATATGTTGCTAAGTTTAAAATTTTAAAAGGTTAGGAGTTTACCACTATTATATTTGTGTATGAATTATTCAAAAATTACATACTGTGGTAGGTGTAGTGGGAGTAATAATCACAACAGTAAAGATGGTAACATTTAGTGAGGCTTTACTATGCAAAGTATGCCTTCTACATCAGGGATTGGCAAACCGTGACCCAAGGGAGATGTGACCTGTCAGCTATTTTTGAAAATAAAGTTCTATTAGAACACAGATATACTCCTCTGTTTACAGTGTGTATTTTGTCATCAGCAGTCCTTGGTCAGTTGTTGCTTATAGAGGCCTCGCTCCAACCTCTGCCTTTGTCTCCTCATGTCCTTCCCCTTGTTGCCTATGGATATTTTTGAAGTATATTTTCCCCTGATTATAAATACAATGGGTTGAGTTAAAAAGACCATGTGGTCCATAAAGCGAAAAATATTTATTGTTTAGCTTTTTACAGAAAAAGTTCACAGATCCTTTTTACATGATAATCTAATTTAATACTCACAACTCTCTGAGGTCAAGTATTTTTATTATTCCCATTTTGTAGATGGGGAAGCTGGGCTTAGAGAAATTAGTCACCTGCTCAGTCACATGGCTAAATAAAAGCAGCAGTGCATGGATTCAAACCTAACCAGACTGCCTCCCAAGTCTGTGCTCTGTATTTGACTTGACAGTTTTTCTATAAAATAATGAAAGGAAAAAATTACCTTTGGAATTCCTATACATAGTTTGCTCACATCTGTCAAACTGGGAAGCATGAACAGTTTTACAGGATTTTGTACTGTGGTAGAATCTTTGGGGTCATGTCCAGCCAGTATACCTATAAAGGGAGAAATACTTTTGTATTATAGACATATTATTTGTAGTGAAAGTGTTTCAAATAATATGTAATCATGTAGCTACCCAACACAATTGCTGTATCATCCACACATCTGGTTAAGATTCCTGGCACATCCATGGAATTCACCAGGGGAATAAGACCATGACGAGAAACTAAGCCATAGCTCGGTTTGAAACCAAGAAGCCCACAGTGGGCAGCAGGATTTCTGGTTGATCCTCCAGTATCTGATCCTAGAGCCCTGGAATTTAAAGGGAATTCTTTTTAGAAGAATGACATATCTCTAGTTATATTTAGAACCTACCCTTTTAAATGTCTATTTTTAAAGTATATTCTTCCCTGGTTATAAATTGTAATACATACTCATCTCAGAATTCATAAAGTGTAGAAAAGCATAAAGAGATAACTGGGGATGTAGTTCAGTGGTAGAGTACTTGCCTAGCATGTGCAAGGCCCTGAGTTTGATCCCTAGCACTGGGGGTGGGGGTGGAGGGGCGACTAAATTTCTACTACCGAGAGGTGTGGTCCAATCTCCTATTGATATACATCTCTTATGCCTTCATTTGATGTTATTTGATATTTAAAACTAAATTAATGTTGATTTGCTGGAGTGGCTCAAGTAGTAGAGCGCCTGTCTAGCAAACATGAAGCCCTGAGTTCAAACCCTAGCATTGCCAAAAAATAAATAAATGTCCATTTTATAAAATGTTTTACAAACCTACACACCCCCTTCCAGAAATTCAGACACAATCCTGGTTATACCATTTCGAATCATGGTTAGCAATGTACTATAATGTATGTAAATATTTATGTTGTTTCCAACTGGAATAGTGACTATATAACAAGTAACTTTTTTTTTGCAGTACTGGGGCTTGAGCTCAGGGCCTTCACCTTGAGTCACTCCACCAGTCCTTTTTTGTGATGGGGTTTTTTTTTTTTTGAGATAGGGTCTCTTGTACTATTTGCCTGGGCTGGCTCCGAACCGCAATCCTCCTGATCACTGCCTTCTGAGTAGCTACGATTACAGGCGTGAGCCACTGGCATCTGGCAACAAATAACTTTGTAATGAACACCTTCCAACATAAATCTTTGCCCAGATGTCTGATTATTCTTAGGCTGTCTTCCAAGAAGGAATTTGTTGTTATAAACTCTTCATATATATGAACAAACTACTTGTCAGGAAGATTATGCCAATTTGTTTTCTCAATCGCAATAAATCCAATTGTGTTTTAATGTTTCAGTAGCATCACTGAGTACCAGTTGGTTTAAAGAGTTTTGTAGGTGGAACTGTTGGCTCATGCCTGTAATTCTAGCTACTTGGAAGGCTGAGATTCGGTGGATCCTGCTTCAAGGACAGCTGAGACAAATAGTTCTCAACCAATAGCTGGGCATAGTGGCACATGCTTATCATCCCAAGCTATGTAGAAGCTGAGATCCTGAGGATCAGTGTTCCAGGTCAGACAGGGCAAAAAAGTTAGCGAGAGCCCATTTCAATAGAAAAAAAGCTGGGCATGGTGGTGTGTGCCTGTGTTAGCCAAGCAATGGTAAAAGTATGAAAGAGAAGGATTTGGTCCAGGCTGGCCTGGGCAAAAAGTGAGATCCTGTCTCCAAAATAACCAAAACAAAAAGGGCTGGAGGTATGGTTCAAGCAACAGAGCGCCTGTCCAATAAGCATGAAGCCCTGAGTTCAAACCTCAGTACTGCCCTCCCCCCAAATTGTTAACTTGATAACCAAAAAAGTTTTGCTAATGTGCATTTTTGAATTTTGCACATACATTTGTATTTGTAATAATCACCCATGAAGTGACTATTCATGTCTTTGCTCACGCTTGCCTACACATTGAGTGCTATGTCATTAAAAACAATAAGGACTGGGGGTGTCGCTCAAGTGGTAGAGTGAAGGTCCTGAGTTCAATCACCAGTACTGCTGAACAAACCCAAAACAAAAAACAGTAACAACAAAAGCTAATCTTGAAGACATTATGCTAAGTGTAACAAGCCAGTCACAAAAAGACAAATGCTGTTTGATACCACACACATGAAGTACCTGGTATAGTCCATTTCATAGACAGAAGGAGAAAGGCTGTGAACCAGGGGCAGGGAAGAGGGTTAATAGGTCCAGAGTTTCACTCTTACAAGATGAACAGTCCTAGAGATTAGTTGCACAATATTATCCTTGACACTTTAAAATGGTTAGGATGGTAAATTTTATGAGTATTTTGCCACAATTAAAATGAAAATTTAAATAACTCTTTCAGAAGATAAAAAAGGGTTTTCAGTAGAAAAATTATAAGTATCTATTGTAAAAATTAAAATATATGATTTTATGATATAGAAAGAAAAATGTCTATTATTACAGCCCCTCATAATTGCCCTGTTACTAGTTTTGATATTGTTTCACCCAGATATCTCTATGCAATGACTGACATCCATACCTATGTAATTATTATTATTATTTTTGGGTGGGACTGGGGTTTGAACTTAGGGCTTCATATTTGCAAAGCAAGTGCTCTATTGTTTGAGCCACACCTCCAGCCCTATAATCATTACTTTTAGTAGAAATAGAGCCACACTATATATACTGTTCTGTAACTTGTTTTTCACTTAACAATGTACCTTGGATAATTTTCCACATCACTACAGAACACCCTATCTCACTCTTTTTAGTGACTGCATAGTACTCCAAGAATCTTCCCATTTTAAACACTACAATATAAGAAACAAATCAAAAGGGGAAAATAGAAATAGAGTAATTTCTGAAGTTACTTTTGGTCCGTGCTTCAATTGCTTATATTTGAGGGGTAACGTTAGATTGAGCAGTACTCTAACAATAACATAGCACTTGAGCAGTACTCTAACAATAACATAGCACTTGTATTCTACAGAAAATGCAAATTATATTTCTTTTCTTACCAAGTCCATTTAAGCTACAAAAATCAGACTGTTGCTTTCACCATTTAAAAAAGATACACTCTCTTATTAGCATTCACTGATGGCTGTGTAAATGTGAAACCTACATTTCTATAGGAATTATGTGTCAAAATGCCATCTTCTCAAAGCACATTCAGAGAGATGAACACTAAGTAGGATGATGAGGACAGAAAAAAAGCAGCTAACCCTGCAGTTCTGACTTGTCAGAACTCTCATTAATATTAATGTAATGCTATAAAACTCCAGAGATGAAATGAAATGGCTTTACTTGTTAACAAGATTTCAGGAAAACTTAAAAAAAAAAAGTGAAGAAACAAAGTTCCACAGCTCTAAAAAATAAAAATAATTTATTGGTTGCAATGCTTGTGAAAGAGCTTAGTTTTAGTAGATAATTAAGGACAGAAAAAAATATATATAGCATTGCTGAAGAGAAACACTCAATTTGGCTATGTTGAGACTGATAAAATAAATTATACAGTAACAGTCATGCTTATTTCTTCTTTTTTTTGTGGTACTAGGTTTTGAACCCAGACCCTCATGCATACTAGGCAAACACTGAACCACTGAGCTACATCCCCAGCTATTTACTCTTCTTTAGATGGTTAAGAAATGCTTTTAAAAAGGCACTTAAAAATATGACTGATGGATTCTTACCATATACAAAGTATGACAGATAATCAGCTCCAAAAAGATTGAAAAACCTTTATTTTAATGACACATTTTTAGCTGCAGATTTATGAAAGTGCTATTTTAAATATTCTACTGATATAGACAAGGGGAAATTTTTTCATTTTAAACTTAGAGTTAGTTGAAGGATAAACCACTATGAACAGCTCAGAAGCAATGAACTGAAGCCATGGGATTACAGTCCCCAAATATTCATACAATCATTGAGTAGACACTGGAATAAATCATTCAAAAAGTGAAATTCAGTGAAGTCCATTTACGTCCAATGCTTTATTCTACAAGATGCATCAAATCATGTTTTTAAAAGAACCAAATACTCCCGAGGAAGACATTAAATGTTATTTTAAAGTTAAATGTATAAAACATACATAGTGTGCTGTATAGTTGAGTATATTTATAAGATAATTTTGACATGTCTTTAAGTGCAAACAGTTCATGAAAAGAAATATTTTTAATACCAGGGCATGAACGACTCTATTGTTGGGTTTTGCATATGGCTTATGGCTATTTGTATTTGGATGGGGCTCAAAGTGCAGACAGAAAAGGCATCTTACGCAAAGCATGTGAATGCTGCCACAGCAGCCGCACTCCCGCCAGAGCTTCCTCCAGTTATTAGCCAATCTGAATCCTCATCCTCACCACGGGACTTCTGCTTCCTCCTTTCTCTATACTGTCTTGAAAAACTCCAGGGGTTTTTAACTGGTCCAAACACTCCATCTGTGCTTCCAGATCTGAGATGAAGTGAAGTGAGATACCTTAGTAAAACTTCATTTTATGTAAAATTCCCATCTCCTGAGTATATTATTTGCTTCTGACACTCACTGGGTTTTTAATCCACTGTTGCTTGAGTTGCAAAGGATAGGAAGCAGTTTTCATTAATTAGGCAGATAAGGAGATGGGAAGGAGGAACATTTGAGGTAGAAAGTGGAGAAAACTAAGGAAAGATTGTATCCTACTTGATCCTTAAACTAAACTACAGAGGATTTCCCTTGCAAATTAAGGTCTTCCTGTTGAAAAGAGTCCTAAACATTCAAACAGTTAAGAAATCCTTTGAAGAAATCTCTCCCTTAATCAGAAGTTTCAAGAAAAGCATTGTAAGTGAAAATTTTCAAAGAATTTTATTCTCAGATAAACTGCAAAAATCAAAATAACAGGTAAAGCACTTTGAACCCTGTTCCCAGATGTACAACTGCCAACATTTCATCGCTTTACCATTTGCATGCTGTGTTTATACAGACAAGCGCATACACAAATTTTTTTATCTCCTGAAACACTTAGGTAAGTTAAGTATATCACGGCCCTTTGCCTTTAAATACTTTGGCATGTATTCTGTATGCATTTCCTAAGAATAAGAACATAGTATAGTTTCATGATGAAATTCATATCAATATAACACTTTAATCTACTGTATGTAATCCAGTTCTGTCAGCTGATTCAATAATATACTTTGTAGCATTTAACCCCTCTCAGGATCAAGTCCAGAATCAGGTATTACTTTTAGTGATCATTGCATTTTAGCCCTTTTTTTCTTTTTTTCGTTTTTAATTCTTCATCAGCCATAGATCTGGGTCTTTTCTGTTAGGGGAAAATTATGAAACAGTCATATAAATTGTTAATTGAAAGGATTAGGCAGTGCTTATGTCACATAATTTCATTTCTTGAGTAAGTACCTAGGATTGCAAATATTGGGACATATTACAAGTATATGTTTAACTTTATAAGAAAACTATTAGCCAGGTATGGTGATGCACATCTATCATTCCACCACTTGGGAGGCTGAGTATAAGTTTGAGGCCAGCGTGGGCCACATAGCAAGACCCAATCTCAGAAAAAGAAAAACAACAACAACAAAAAACCCTGTCAAACTGTTTTACAAAATTGCTATGTATTTTGTATTTCCTACTTGGAATGTGTGAAAAATAAATACATTATTTATGTATTATTAGAGGCACATGCCTCTAATCCCAGCTACTTGGGAGAAGACAAGAGAATTACAAATAGAGGTCAGCCCAGACAAAAGCTAATAAGAATGAAGCAAGTATTACACTTATCCCAAAATCAGGCAAAGACACCTCCAAAAAGGAGAACTATAGGCCAATCTCTTAATGAACATTGATGCAAAAATCCTATAAAATAATGGCAAACTGAATTCAACAACACATCAAAAAGATCATTCACACGACAAGTAGGCTTTAATCCCAGAAATGCAGGGGTGGTTCAACACACGCAATCATATAAATGTAATAAACAATTAACAGAAGCAAAGACAAAAACCACTTGATACTCTCAATAGATGCAGAAAAGCCTTTGATAAGATCAACACATTCACGATAAAAGCTCTAAGAAAACTAGAATAGAAGAAAGTACCTCAACATTATAAAAGTACATATGACAAACTACAGCTAGCATTATACTTAACGGTAGAAAACTGAAACCATTTCCTCTAAATCAGGAACCAGACAAGGATGCCCACTATTCACTCTATTCAACATAGTACTGGAATTCCTAGCCAGAGCAATTAGGCAAGAAGAAGGATAAAAGGGAATACAAGTAGGTAAGAAACTGTCAAATATCCTATTTGCTGATGACATGATTCTATACCTTAAAGACCCAAAAAAACTCTACTCAAAAGCTCCTAGACACATATAAAATCAACATAGAAAATCATTAGCATTTCTATACACTAATAATGAGCAAACTGAGAAAGAATGTATGAAAACAATTCCATTTACAATAGCCTCAAAAAAAATCAAATACCTAGGTGTAAACCTAACAAAAGATGTGAAAGACCTCTACAAGGAAAACTATAACTTCTGAAGAAAGAGATTGAGGAAGACTTATAGAAAGTAGAGAGATCTCCCATGCTTCATGGATTGGTAGAATCAACATAGTAAAAATGTCGATACTCCCAAAGTAATCTACATGTTTTAATGCAATTCCCATCAAAATTCCAATGACATTCATTAAAGAGATTGAAAAATCTACTGTGAAATTTATATGGAAACACAAGAGGCCACGATAGCCAAGGCAATACTCAGTCAAAAGAACAATGCTGGAGGTATCACACCTGACTTCAAACTATATTACAAAGCAATAACAATAAAAACAGCATGGTACTGGCACAAAAACAGACATGAAGACCATGGAACAGAATAGAGGACCAGATGAAGCCACACAACTATCAACTTGTCTTTGACAAAGGTGCTAAAAATATACGATGGAGAAATAGCAGCTCTTCAACAAAAACTGCTGGGAAAACTGGTTAGCAGTCTGCAAAAAACTGAAACTAGATCCATGTATATCACCCTATACAATTAACTCAAAATGGATCAAGGATCTTAATATCAGACCCCAAACTCTAAAGTTGATACAGAAAGAGTAGGAAATACTCTGGAATTAGTAGGTATATGGTAAAACTTTCTCAATGGAACCCCAGCAGCACAGCATAAAAGAGATAGCATAGATAAATGGGACCTCATAAACTAAAAGCTTCTGTTCATCAAAAGAAATGGTCTCTAAACTGAAGAGAACACCCACAGAGTGGGAGAAAATATTTGCCACTATACATCAGACAAAGGACTGATAACCAGAATATAAGGGAACTTAAAAACTAAATTCTCCAAAACTAATGAACCAATAAAGAAATGGGCAAGTGAACTAAACAGAACTTTCTCAAAAGAAGAAATTCAAATGGCCAAAAACACATGAAAAAATGCTCACCATCTCTAGCAATAAAGGAAATGCAAATTAAACCACCTAAGATTCCACCTCACCCCTGTTAGAATAGCCATCATTAGCAACACCACTAACAGGTGTTGGCGAGATGCGGGGAAAAAGGAACCCTCTTACACTGTTGGTGGAATGTAAACTAGTACAACCACTCTGGAAAAATTTGGAGGCTACTTAAAGGTAACATTGATCTACCATTGATCCAGCAATACCACTCTTGGGGATATACCAAAAGACTGTGACACAGTTACTCCAGAGGCACCTGCACACCCCATGTTTATTGCGGCACTATTCACAATAGCCAAGTTATGGAAACAGCCAAGATGCCCCACTGACGAATGGATTAAGAAAATGTGGTATTATACACAATGGAATTTTATGTAGCCATGAAGAAGAAGAAATGTTATCATTGCTGGTAAATGGATGGAATTGGAGAACATCATTCTGAGTGAGGTTAACCTAGCCCAAAAGACCAAAAATTGTATGTTCTTCCTTATATGAGGACATTAGATCAAGGGCAAACACAACAAGGGGATTGAACTTTGATCACATGATAAAGTGAGAGCATACAAGGGAGGTATGAGGATAGGTAAGACACCTAAAAAACTAGATAGCATTTGTTGCCCTCAACGCAGAGACACTAAAGCAGATACCTTAAAAGCAACTGAGGCCAATAGGAGAAGGGGACCAGGAAGTAGAGAAAAGGTTAGTTTGAGAAGAATTAACCTAGAAGGTAACACATGCAAAGGAAATTAATGCGAGTCAACTCCCTGTATAGCTATCCTTATCTCAACTAGCAAAAACCCTTGTTCCTTCCTATTATTGCTTATACTCTCTCTTCAACAAAATTAAGAGATAAGGACTAAATAATTTCTGCCGGGTATCGAGGGGGTGGGGGGAAGAGGGAGGGGACAGTGGGGGGGGGCAAAGGAAGGGGTGGGGGAAGGGGGGAGAAATGACCCAAACATTGAATGCACATATGAATAAAATAAAAATTTAAAAATTATAAATAAATAAATTAAAAAAAAAAAGAGACCTTACAGTTTCATTAATTATAATTTCAGCTACTTCCTGGAGCCAAATAATGGGGTTGAACGTATAAATCAGGGTCCAATAGCCCCAGAACACATGTCCTGCCCAAGTGGCAGGACCATAACACTGGATGATTTGCTCTGGGGGCCACCCATCATCCTTCCAGTTACCAATTTGTAAGGTACCTCATTTCTTTCTACTTGCCTTTTCTTCATGGATAGAGACTCCCAATTTTTCACTTGTGTGAGTGGGAGCAAGAAAAATGATGGCCCGATTGTGCCCAGGACACAGGACCTAAGCCAACTGTTGGGTAGCACCATATACGCTTGCTTCCCACGGATCCAACGTAGCCCCCGGGGTACCCGCCAATCTGTATTTGCGGTAAGATTGTTCCAAGCTTTTCGGAGAGCAGAGAAGTTGGCCAATGGTGGGGCTGGGGTTCTGTGTGGTTTGGAGTTCCCCACCATTGGGTCTTTTGGGCAGTGTCATTGTCTTAAACAAGTTAAATCCCCCACCAGGGTGGAGAACTGGCCTTTTGGGTGGGAAGTACAGTAATTTCCGATGATAGAAGTTTTTAGAAGCCAGACACTTTTTCTCAGGCTAGGGAAGGCAGTTTCATTAAAGGATTCCCACAGGTTTAGCTCCTTAGGTTTCCATGGCCAGTGGTCTCCCAGGTTGGTTCCTCCACAAACATAGCATGAGGTGACATTGAGAGTCTGGGATATAGACTCAGGTAGTGAGAGGAACAGGTTTCTGGCCTTGAGAGAGATAGAAAACTCACTCCACATTTCCTCATAAAAGGAGTGAAAAACTTGGTATGAGGAACTCTCATGGGTAACAGTTACTAATTGAGGTGCATCAGAGTCCCAGAGTCAAGGCCCTTTCCATCTATCCTTATACAAATTATGTGTCCCTGTTTTCAATCAGAGGGATTAAATATAGTAAAATTTATGAGGTTACAGGTGCCAGGGGCACAGTCAGAGGTAGCTGTCCCCTTGTGAAGGAGGGCTGCATAATCTGCCTTTTGTCACATAGCCCATGAAACACAACCCCAATATGGGCAATAATAGGAGCCTACCTCATCACATGGCCAAGAGTTGTCTCCCCAGCACATATACTTATCATTTGATGTATATGCTCTTTCCCAAGCTAGGCCCCCACAGCCACAACCTATATTCCACATCCACCTTGGTCTATGGCTGCACATGCATCAAAGAACATTGACACTGGTTTATCAGGGTTAAACACCTGGGTGTGGTTGATGAGGTTCTCAGGGTTGTGGATGCTCCAGACCTCTAGCCATTGTTCCTGAGGGTGGTAGGTGGGATTGAAGCAGATATGCTGATCACCGTGGGCGCACACCAAATAGGTGGTATGGTTGTGGGTGTGTGCCCCAATGACAGTGCCTGCACAGGAATAGTTAAGTATGGAAAAGCAGAGTTCTGGTGACAAATTTCCTGCCTGGATAGTATGCATAAATAAGTCATAGTTTGATATCTGGGAGTTCCTGAGGAAGGGACTGCTTAAATTTAACAAAAGGAAAACATGGAAAAGACCCATCCCTGGAGGGAGAAGAACATGACTCCTCAACCTTCCTCTGCATAGACTAGTCAGCTTCTGGAGTGACTAGAACAGGGCTATCGTCCCATTGTTCATGGTCCCTGTTGTTTCCTGGGAAGCAGAGTCCTGCCAGGAACTAGAGAAAAGGTTAGATCAAGAACTAACCTAGAAGGTAACACACATGCACAGGAAATTAATCTTATCTCAACTAACAAAAACCCTTGTTTCTTCCTATTATTGCTTATACTCTCTCTTCAACAAAATTAGAGATAAAGGCAAAATAGTTTCTGCCGTGTATGGAGGGGGTTGGGGGGAGAGGAAGGGGGCGAGGGAAGTGGGGAGAAATGTCGCAAACATTGTATGCACATATGAATAAAATAAAATAAAGGTAACATTACAGAGATAACTTCTCTAACTTTTTTTCTAATTAAATTATCTATAAACTTAAAAAAAAAAAAAAAAAAAAAAAAGCTAATAAGACCCTATCTCAAAAACAATCTGCGTGTGCATGCCTGTGTTCCCAGCCACTTGGGAGGTAGAGGTAGGAGGTTCATGATCCAAGGCCAGCCTGAGCAAAAAACCATGGAATGCTTTCTGAAAAACAAACTAAAAGCAAAAGGATGAGGGGAGTGGCTCAATTGGTAGAGTACTTGTCTAGCAAGCATAAGGCCCTGAGTTCAATCCTTAGTACTGGCTCCCCATACCCCTATCTCCCAAATACAATTGTTCTATATCCTTATTAGTAATTTTTTTTTTTTTTCAGACAGGATCTCGCTATGTATAACCTTGGTTGGCCTCAAACTCACTATGCAGCTTAGGTAAGCCTTGAATTCATGATTCTCCTGACTCCACCTCCCAAGTTCTGTAAGTATAAGAGTGGGCTATGGATAGTCATTTCTGTTAATACATTCTGGTGTTAAGTATCTCACTGTGGTGTTAATTTGCATTTCCTTAGTGATATTAAATATTTTTATGTGTTTATCAACTGTATATCATCTTTGAAGTCTGCATATTTTGTCTATTTTTTTTTAAATTAGGTTGTTTCTTTTTTTAATTAAGTTGGGAAAGGTTTTATATATTTTGGATACCAGTTCTTTCTCAGATTTAATTTTCAAAAATTGATAGATTGAACTTCATTACAATTAAGGAATTCTGTTCTTTGAAATGTGCTACTAAAACATGAAAAACCAAGCAACAAACTAAGAGAAAATACTTGCAAAACATAAATGAAATTAAAGGTGAAGACGGAAGAAACATAACAGAATAAAATTTCACTTTTCTTACCCCATAGCAAACTCATCTAAATTTGTTTTTCCCATTAGTAAAACACCTTGATCCAACAATTTCTGAACCACTGTGGCATTGTAAGGTGGCACATAACCTAAAAAAATTTAAGTGTTTTTTATTATAGGAAAGAAAACAGTGAACATATAAATTATACACAAAACCCCCACAATTTTAAACTTTAATTAAGCACATCATATTGATGTGTTAATTATTCCTTATTTGAATAGTGGGATGTACTTCCTTCTAAGTTAATTTTTTCTCTTTCTAACTGTATACATTTCCAAAGATAATCTGTACATCATTCCCTATTTTCATAACCTAAAACTATTGACTTCAACAGTCAGTACTATAAAATACTGCATTGCAGTCAGTACTGTACCCAATTCATTTGACACTAATTCCAATCATTATGTCACTCATTATACTTGATTTTTTTCTTCTTAGGTATTATATCACGCAGTAATTTTTATGTATTTCTGGTTAGAAATAGACCCATACTCTCAGTTAAAATTTCTTTGATCTATTGAAAAGCTCTAGTATACATTCCAAAATCATAACTAGTCTATTAGAGTAAACTGAAGTATATTCCTCTAAAAAAATTATTTTGTATGTAGCACTCTAAATAACCTTTTTATTTCATTTCTTTTTCCTCCTAAGATCCAAATATCTTGATAAGTATGCTTGCTTTTGACCTAAGAGACTATGAAGAATAAAGTTAAGCATCACTATATTGTGTTAAAGAGATGGAGGAATCAGGAAATGAAAAATAGCTGGTGAGTAGATTTAATGAATCCACACAATCCCCAAGAGAGGGGTCATGACAACCAGTTCATACTGTTCTCATGTTTCAACAAGCTGAAGTTAGTGGTCACTTAGTAAATTTGTGATGATCAGTTAATGAGTCTTCCTAAAAAGGATCTCTAAAACTTCTGAAATAGCACTTATTCATTAAGCTGGCCTACCTCTAAAGAATAATTCTGCATTCTAAAAGTATAAATAGTAAAGAGGTAATATCCTAGCTAGGTATTTCCCTCAAAGACACAATTAGTCTGAGACATCTTAAAGCTTTAATATTTTACCTTTAAATTATACTGAAAAATATCTATTTTCATAAAAGTATTAATGCTCTGATCAGGTACATTTTACCTTTCAGCATATTTGATGCACATGTTGTCTCGATGCCAGTTGTACTGAAGTTGTCTTTTACTGCAATAGGAATTCCATCTAAATCCCCAAGTGGCTGACCTGCATGAAAAAAAACAGACGATCGATACATATATATACACACACATATATATGTATACATACATATATAATACACATACACATACAACACTAAGTATCTATATATAGATATCTTTTAGTATATATATTTACATCTTTGAGTTATTTATAATAACCACTAGTTTTTTACAAAGACACTTCTTCAAAAATCAAGTTTATGTTAGAAATTATTACTGGTGGACATTATAAAGCATTAGCCTCATTTTCACTATACCTCATGGCCAGTTCTTTATTTTGTTTTTTATTTACTTACTTTTTTCCCATGACCAATCTAAGTTTAAGCTACTATTTAAGCCATCTCCTGCCACAAGCAAAGGATCAGTATAATTGTCATTTGACACAGCAAAGGAAGGTGAACTTAAGGTCCCATACACTTTTCTGGTTCACATGCACAAGAATGGTCCAAACCATTGCTGTGGTCCCTGGTGCTTGGGTGATGGCCCAAGTTCTCTCTTTACTCATCTTCACGGCCAGTCAGAAGTGGATTCACACAAGGGTTATGAATAGAGTATGGTTACCATCTTCCTAGGAAAAAGGCTTGGACCTGATGTAGAGATGGGAGTAGGCCGAGAACTCAGGTCTTCCATACTCTCCATGGTGCAACCTGAGGAAAACATTCTGCATGCTTACTCCCACCCCAGGCAGCATAATCAAGTAGGTGAGGGCCTTCCACAGGTGGGTAGGAACCAGGACACAGTCACTGCCACCACCACCATTTTGGACCTGCCAGTTCTTAAGCTTCACTTGCCAAAAGGAGACTGTTACATCCCATTAAGCTCTTCCTCTAGAGATAAAACAATGGCGTACAACTGAAAGTAATTACCTTTCTTATATCTTTCCTCTGATTCTTCAGCTTGCTTTAAGGCTACCTCTTCTGATACGGTAATGTAAGCATTTAGAAACTTGGTTTTCTTGATGAGAGAGAGACATTTCCGACACAGCTCTGTTGGTGTAATTTGGCCTTGCTTGAGTGCTGCAGAAACCTATGTCATACACAATTCAAAAACCTTTTACTGAGTCCATAGAAGCTCAAATGTAATACTAAGGGGACAATAGAGTGGCAGGCAATACAGAAGAGTGGCTAAACATAAAATTTGAAGTGAGCCTTGGGTTCAAAATCTAGAGAACCTATCAAGCCTACACAGCATATTGACCAAAGGGCAGCATTGTGGATCAGCCTAAGGATGGGGACAAAGGGGAGGCAATCTTCTACCTGGCTCACTAAATCACCTGTTTCTAAGCTAGGCTATGCAAATGAAAGCAAATGTATAGGTAAGCCATCCTGGACAGAATCAGTTGAGAGTTCGCCTGGGTAAAGGATGGGTTAGGGGAGATTATGTACAGGGAGTAGCTTACTGCAATACAAGCAGTCCAGAATGAAAGGAGAAGTGAGCTGGGTAAGACACTGCAGGACTTTTTGGCCCTGAGTAAGATCTTTATACCTATTGTGGAAATGAGCAAGACGCTACAAGTTGAGAGAAAAGCATGTAAGATATAGATTCAAAAGTTACTATAAACAAATTTTTCAGAAATTCTGTCTTTTGAGCATTAGGAAGACTGGTAAAGAAAGTAAACCGCACAAGAGGTAACCAGAACTTGCACAGTGATAGGAATTAAGGCTGAGATGAAGTGATGACTGCTTAATATTTCCTGTGGGAATTAATAATAATATGCACTTGCTAATCAGCAAAGATATGAGTAACAAGAAGTCAATGATGACACTGAAGCTTTGGAGATCATATGAAAAGAGTTGGATTATCCAATGAGATGAGAGTTCAGAGACAAGGGGTGTAGGGAAAGAATATTTATTGAGTATTTGCCAAGAGCCAGACACTTTTGCTTTACCTGCCTTATTAACCACTTCCCAAGTTAAGTATTACTAACCTTACTTGACAACAGTAAGGATGGATGATTTCATATTTTCTCCTCACCATTTCTATCTCTAGTGGAAATTAGCTTGTCTTCCAAGTTGACTGTATTTTTACATGTCTTATATGCATCAAGTAATAGGAATTTGCATTTTGGGGGACAAAATCTGCACATGATCTGCTCTTGGCTATTGAATATATCATCAAAGCAATGACATTCTTAGGACTGAGGAGTTTAGATGAGAAAAGCAGGGGAAGAGGCAATTGAGAGAACCCCTTGTGCTCATGGACAAGAGGAGGAATGCGGAGGCTACAGAGTGATTCAGGGTTGACTCAAGGAAGTAATTCAGTAACAGGAGATATTTCTGCTGTATAGTTTATATGAAATGTAAACTTTTGATGAAATGAGCTAAAAATGAATGAAAGATAACAGTGTGGTCTAATGTTGTGAATGGAGAATGTGAAGAAAGAACACAGTAGTTGGTTGGGTGGCAGAATTACAACTAGAAAGTACCCAAAACCCCAGAGACAGAGAGATGTGTACAGACCTATCCCACTGCAAAGCTGTAAGAGGGAGGAAACCTGCTTCTGCCACCTCTGTCCTGCCTCTCCCCTCATGTACTCTAATGCCTACTGGCCTCAAGCTGCTTTGTGACTTACCAACTAATACGAGAATAGGATCTAAGGAGTTACAATGGGATTAGAAGAGCAAGAAATGAGATTGTCTAGGAGCACTCATTTTAAATGGTACTGATTCATTTAAAATGGCCATTTTTAGGAACTCCAGATTTGAGAAAATCAGTAAGAGAACTGGGAAAGGGAAGTGGAAACAAAAATGCTAATTAGTGAGAATGGACTGTGCATGAAGAGTGTGAAATGGAAATCAGATAGCTCTCTGGGGACAAAACTGCAGGTGTCTGAATATAAAACGAAGTCAATTTTCAAATTTTTTGTTAAAAAATGTTCTCTCTCTTGGCCCTTCTCTAATGGAAATTGGGCTTTCCCTTGAAACTACAGCTGCCTCTGTTTCGCTCCTGTCTACTGAACATCAGAGTCCAGTGGGGGCAAAGTGTCCTCCTAGTTCCTCAATGCCTTCCTCTTCCCTCTTTCTTTAAAAATCCCAGCTATGGAGAAGACTCTATCATTCTCCATCCTTTTCCTCTTTGTGTGGGTTATTCCAGTCTACCTGGCATGCCCAGTCATTCACTGATGATTTTAGCACCTAGCCTACTGTCATCTTTGCTACTATTGCTCCTGTTGTCCTTCTTGTTCACCTCAAACTTCAAGTTCATGTATGCTGACACTGGGCCTCCCCATTCCTTGACCTCACTTCATACAAACTCTCCCTTTACCTCATCCCAGTTACTAGCCTGCCAGAGATTTCTAAAATCTCCTAAATCTCAACTCATCTTTTGTCCCCTTGATTCATTTACTTTACTACCCAAACAGCCAGCAAGGAAACAGGGACCTAATCCCATAACCATAAGGAAATAGGTCCTAACAACAATCACTGAAGTCAAAAGAGGACCCCAAGTTCCAGATAAAATTGAGGGGCTGGCTGACATCCTGATTTCAATCTTGTGAGACTCTGAGCAGAGAACACTGCTACTCTACACCAAGATACTTGACTCACAAACTATGAGATAATAAGATTCTGTGATTTTAAGTCACAAATTATACTAATTTGTTATGTAGTAATGGAAAATGAATATGTCTACTAAGAAAAACTGAGAGATTTGTGGAGCTGCTCTTATGAAGTAGGGGAAAGGAAAATTGTAAATACATATAATTTAGTAATTTTGTCTCTTGCAATAAAATTAATATTAATAGCAAGTCCTTACTTCCAGGCATTGACCAAGATGCTTTATATTTCTTTTAATCTTTATATCCACACTGAGGGGCTGATATTATTAACTTCATCTTGTAGATAAAGTACTGTAGTTCCTGTTTAAGGTCACACAGAGAGAAACAGGGCTGGGATTTATACAAGATCTGATCTTGTTTGCAAAATTCATGCTCTGAATTACTAAACTATAATACTTCTCTATGCAAGCCATTATGACATGTACTCCTCTGTACCAAAGCAAAGAACATTTCTATTGCTTTTACTGATAACATCAAATGTTCACTTAGAAAAAAGAACAGTTTTTCATACAAAATTGCCTTGATAAAAACTGAAGGATAGGAGAGCTCTTCAGGGCTGAGTGTCCAGTGGATGGACACTCACTTTAATACACTCTGGTCATGTTTTGTTTTCATCGTTCCATGAAATTGCACGTTAAGGTCACCAGCAACCCCACATTCCTAAAGCCAAAAGTCAATGCCAAATCTTCACTTTCCAGTACTTCTCAGCAGCACCAACACAAGTGCTCTTTCCCTGTTCAGAATACTTCTTCATTTGTGTTCACCATCCTGGTTTTTCTCCTGCCTCTCTGGCCATGCCTTCAGGTCTCTTGTGCTGGGTTTACTTCCAATTGCTGACTCTAAATATCAGAAAGTTTTAGGCCTTCTTCTGTTTTTACACTCATCCTCCCAAGGTGACTTCACCTGGCCACATGGCTCTAATTGTCTTCTTCACCCTGAACAATTTAGATCCTATCTAACTGCTTTTCTGAGCTCTTCTAAACTCTTCCATCCACCTGCTTAACTGACATCTTCACTTAGATGTCTAGGAGGCATCCCCAAAATTAACATCTCTAAACTCAGAACTCTTGAGAACCTCCTCTTTCCAAACATGCTCACTTTTATAGTCTTTCTCATCTTGATGAATGTTACCATTTCCCCAACTGTCCAGGCCTAAAGCCTATGTACTTTTCTTGATTCTTCTCTTTCCCTCGGACCCCATATTCAACCCATCAGCAGTCCTCACTTAAAAAGCAATTTCTTCTACCACTACCACCCTAAGATGTCATTATTTCTTGCTGATGCAACAATCTTCCCACAGTGGTTTCCCCACTCAATTTCCTATGAACCACAGTCCTGAAGAGTCACCTGAAGGAGCTTTAAAAATATTAAATTAAATCATGTCCACAGATCAAAACTTTCTAGAGGCTTCCCATTATACTTGGAATAAAATCCACATTCCCTACTATGGCTTGAAGGTTCTCCATGATCTGACTCTTGCCTGTCTTTAGCCTCACTCCTCTTGAAGCATGCTTGCCTTCATGCATTCTTTGAAAATGTCAAGCTCGCTCTTACTTCTTGGTCATTGTACTTACTACTGCTCCCTCTTCCTGGAACACTGCTCTCCTAGATCCTTCCAGGTCTCTATTAAATTTTACTCCATCAGAGAAAACTTCCTGATTAGATAGATCACTCTATACCATACAGCTCCCTCAACCAGTTTTCCCACTACAGTCTACTTTATTTTTCTTCATATTACTCATACTATCTGAAATTATAACATTTACTTCAAAAAAACTTTAATGCCTGCTTTCCTACTCCAAAAAAAGGTGTAGGTTTCATGAGGGCAAGAACTTCTGTCTTCAACACTAAATCCCAATGCCTGGGACAGAGGTACTCAAGGAGTATTAGTTGAATGAGTGAGTAACTGAGAAGTTCAAAATTTGGAATCGATTTCCCTACAGAAAATGATTGACTCAATTTAGTTTAGACCCACAAGGAGCCAACTGAATATATCACTAAACTTTTGGATTAATAACATTAGCTTGATGTCTAACTCTAAGAAACACTGGCACTGTGCCACAAAAGGGAAAGGTAAAAGTCTACCTTCCTGAATGTAGCTGAGTAAAATTTAAAATAGGAGTTTGACCTCTTATTTAGCATCTCACCTCTTTTTAGTGCCTCCTTTTCCATGCTCTTCTGTTGTCCTAAGCTTCCAGTTAACCCCCAAATAGCCTCAGATGTTCATAGTTTCCAGTCCCTCCCCCTAATTTCCTCCCTAACAAATTTTCCTTTTCTTCAATTGTTTATCGAAACAAGGGTGTTCTGAAGAAGAGAAATTTGATTGAACTATTGATTCACAACAATGGGAGAACAAATCATTCAATCCTCTCAGGCACCTGTACATATTTAAAAGTGACTGGGTACTGAATTAATCTCTAATTGGTAGAATTTGGGGCATCAGTATAGCGACAAGGAAAAAATACAGAGTGGACAGAGATATTTTGGGAACTAGGAAAATAATCACCAAAAAAAAGGTTTTACAGAGTAGACAGTAAGTATTTGTAAAAGGAGCAATTAAGTGAAAGCAATCATGCCAAGGCAACCTCTTGGTCTTCCCTTGGGTCAACTCCCCTAAATGGTTCTATGCCCCCTCCCTCCATGAGTCAAAAGTTGTTTTTCACAATGGTCATCCCACTCATCATCAGAAATGGCTATTACACACACACATAAAGATGCTATGGGGGAAAGGCAGAAAAAGGATTACCATATTTTAATAGGTTATATTTTGCTTTAAACAGGTTTTGTGTTTTTTCCTTTTAAAGAACAAATTTGTTCACTAACAATACAATATGACAATTTAGGGTGGGTAAGATAATGTATCTTATAAAGAGAAAATATTTGTTATTTAAAACCTGTGGACTTAAAGGTCTCATAATTTATAGCTGTCTAAAAGGCTGCCAGCAGAGAAAGAGACTTCTCAGTGAGACATATAAATGGAAGGTGGAGGGCAGGGTAGGGCCTCAACCCCAAACCCCAACTTGTCACCAGAAATCACCTGGAGACACCATTAAACCTTAACCTCTGGGTGTTATTACACAGATCTGTTTAAGTCTAGAGTGCAAAACAGTTGTAGTTTTAACAAGGGCCCCAGGTGATTCTGATAGCAGTGGGCTTGCAGACAGATTGAGATTGGAACTGAAAGCAAGGGAACCAGAATTAAAGCCCCAAGAGCAGGAAAAGAGTGAGAAAACAGATTCTAGGCATAATTACAAGATAGGCTTAACAGGGCTTAGTGATTTATTGGATATGAAAGATGAAGAACAATTTAAGGGCCAATGGAATAATAGTTATGCTATTTAAAAGAGTACAATAAGAATTCAGAAAGATCAAGCTTTGTTTTGGTATTGTTTCAACGATGACTTCCGCTTTGGTTAGAGTGTGAATGTTTTACGTTTTGGAAGAGATGTCCAGAAGGAATTCACAAATATAGTCTAGGGTTCAAAAATGATGTCAAGGGAATGGAAACGGTGGTGGGGAACCATAGGTATCCTGGTGTCTGTTGAAGCCTGGAGATTTTTTTTTTTTTCCTGAGTCATACCCTAGGCTGCGAACTTTTTACAACCATCAATTATTTGTTTGAATTTTGCATGCTACAAATTCGCCGCGCTCCTGTGCGAGAACTGCATCAACTGGATCAGGAGAGAGACTGGAAGGCGCAGTCCGAGGCCTCGCGGAGCTCCGCCTGAGAAGCGGGATGGATGCACACTTCACCCCATCCCACAGCTCCGCGGCGCGGGGATCTCCCCTCCCGAGGTCCTCATTCCTGGGAACCAGTATGGAGAGCACAGCCTACGGACCGAAAGGTCCCAATCTAGGATCTAGTTCTAGAACACAGGCGGCGACGCGGGCGAGATGCGTGGTTAAGCCCGGGGACTCCTTGAGCACGGGAGTCTGCCATGATGGAGGGAAGTCATCTCCCTCCCTACCCGGAACCCCACTAGCGACTTCCACTCACTTCTCGGAGGGTCCGGCAGAGCATAATCCTGAGGTTCAGCTTGTTACCACAGGGGCGAGGAGACAAGCGGAAAAAAGGTCACCAGCCGTCCCGGGTAATTACATGGGCGCAGCCATCTTTGATCGTCACTGACCGCTTCAACAACGAGCTCTTGGATTGGTCCCATCTCAGCCTGAGGAAATGATCCTTGCAGGTGATTGGCTTGGGCCTCAAAGCCTCTTCCGGCTGTGGAGGCGCGCCAGCAGGCGAGGAGACTGTAGGTTAGCGGGTTGCGGCGGCCCCCGGAACCTTCTGATTTCACTTGGCGTCGGGGTCGCCAAGCTGTGTCTGCTTGTCCTACCGAGAGCTCCCAGGACAGGGCAGGGATCGGAGGGTTGGTGGTTCTTTTTCCAAGCGTGTGTGTGGGTCTCCTAAGGGAGGGAGGAGAATGGACGCACTGTTGACTGAAACGTCAATTGGAGCGTTTCTCATGCGAAGAGTGGACTAGCAATTCCGTATTCTTCCTTGGTGTACTCCGTCAGGTTGACTTCATTTTTGAATGCTCAGTTTTGAAATTGGCTAGGGTGTTTGGCAGAATCAGACAGGATTTAGGGGTTTGATACACTAAGTGCATTTGGCGGGGGGGCACGCGCAGCCGTCGAGGATGGAAGTTTTGAAGACTTGTGTGCTTAGAAGAAACGCTCGCGCTGTGGCTGGCTTCTGGAGAAGCAGGGTTGTACAGACGCCTTCAGTGAGGGGCATTAGTACCTCCTCTCCAAGGAGCACTTTCATGCCCGCCTGGGTGATAGATAAATACGGCAAGAATGAAGTGCTTCGCTTCACCGAGAACATGATGCTACCCATCATACACTACCCAAATGAAGTCATTATCAAAGTGCACGCTGCCAGTGTCAATCCTATCGATGTTAATATGAGAAGTAAGTTTTCAAGAGACGTTTTCCTTACCTTTTTTTTTTTTTTTTTAAATCGGAATTTCGCCAGGCATGCAGGTGTTTGGTTTTGTTTGATTTTGAGATAGGGTCTCCCTGTGTAGCCCAGGTTGGCTTCCAACTCATCCTCCTGCCGCAGCCTGGCAGAGTGCTGGGATTTACAGGTGTGCGCCAGCTAGGCATACAGTTAAAGGAAAAAGATCAGTTGCTATTTGGTTGCATTTTGCCTGGCACAAAGGGATCCATTTAGGTTTTTGATAATCCCTCTTAATATTATTTTCGAAATTGCAGTGCCCAGGATATATTTAGTCTTTTACAAAATGTAAGTTTGATTATTTACATACTTCCTTAAAATGTAAGTTGGGTTGGAAGAATTGTGGCTGATTTGCTGGTGTATTCCTTTGTGGTAATCTGAGATCCAGCATGATTTAAGAGGTGTAATGATTCTACATCAGTTTGAAATTTGCATTTTTATAATAATTCTTAGCTTCTTTGATCTCCTGTTACTCACAGCTTCTTTTATTGGTCCAGTGGACAGAGCAACAGAATATGTTCCAGGATATGGACACAGCATTTTCCTCATTTCTGCTATTGCATTCTGCCTTCAGCAGTTAAAATATACCTTCTGCCTCGCATGGTGGTGCACACCTGAAACCCCAGCACTGGAGACTAAGGCAGGAAGATAGAGATTGGGAGTTCAAGACCTGCCTGGGTTATATAGTGAGACTCTGGTTTTGTTTTGTTTTGTTTTTTTCCAATTTTTCCTGTTACGCTTCTTTCTAAATCGAAATAATGTTATCTTAATTCTGCTGGAGGATATTGACAAAGTTTGGACAGTACTGTATTCATGTAAATGTATGCTGTACAATGGTTATATTCATTATAGTAGTACTTATGAATTATTTTGGCTTTGACAATATTTTTGAAAATTTTTTTCAATCTTGCTTATGGAATCTCACCTATGTCTTCTGAAGAAATTGTAAAACATTTTTGGGTGACTAACCTCTGCGTTAATCACATGGGGCGGTTAACCTCAGTACTTTAAGTAAAGTGCCAGGTGCAGATTAATTTAACATGGGTCAGTGTTTTGAAGACTATGTGTTGACCTGTAGCTATATTCATCAGATTACCTCAATAACATATGTGGAAATATATGACCTATATGTGATGGATTTAATTTCTTTGTTCATATATATCCAATTATAGTATTAAGATTAATCATAGACTTAACCATTTTTGTGAAATTTATAGAGAAATAGGAAAATGTTGGGGCTTTGACTTTTCTCTTTGCAGAAGTGACATAATAGACTACAGTAGCAATTCTCAATTTTTTTTGTTTCAAAACCTCTTTGCACTTAAAAATTAGATAGCTATAGCTATCTTATTAGAAATTAGAACAAATGTATTTCTTCATTTAAAAATACAGTAACTACAAAATTAAAAATCAGTAGAAAAATATAATGACGTGAAATTATGACTGGAGACAACTACGTATGGGAAGTACTGAAATAGGTAGCAGTTGATAGAGCGTGGGCTCTACCTTCAAAGAAGCTAGAATGAAAAATAACCATTTTTTCAAAACAGGCAAATTTAGTGAATAGCTCTTCACTATCTGCTTAATAAGCAATTGATTTTCATCCATACTTCTGTATTCAATCTGTTGCAGCATGTTATTTGAAGTAATGAAGAAAAGCCAGCCCCACAAAGATAGATTGTTGGAAAAGAAAGAACCTCTTAGACTCCTTGAAAAGACTGGGGCATACCAAACGTGGAGATGTTCTGGATTAGGGAGATAAAGCCCAGATGCACTGGTATGAGGTCATTTGACTCTAATTTTGAATGTTGCTGTATTTAATTTAGTGTCTATCTAGACATGAGCCATTGACTATAGAAGCCACTAAAGACATGTGACTATAAGCCATGAATGTAGCTAGTCTGAATTAAGAGTGCAGTCAGTGTAAAATACACTAGATTTAAAATACTTAGTTTGAAAAAACAATGTGAAATGTCTCATTCAGGTTGTATATCAGGGCTCATTAGTAGAGAGGGCTTGCTTAACATGCATTAGGCCCTGGGCCACATCCCCAGCACTACAAAAAAACAAAAAACAAAACCCACAAAAACACCCAAAACCCAAGTACACACACACACAACAAAACAAGCAAAAAGCCCCCAGACCAAATACTGCTGGGTAAGGTGGTACATGGCTGTAATCCCAGCATTTGGGAGGTAGAGGCAGGAGGATTTTGAGTTCTAACTCAGCCTGGGCTACACAGTGATGTGCTGTCTCAAAAAGTAGAATAAACAATTATATATATTGATTTTTGAGTAAAATATTACTAAAATGAAATTCTGGTTTTTTCTCTTTATTTTAATGACTACTAGAAAATTTAGTTATACATTGCATTTTTGTTGGACAGTGTCTATCTAAAAGTGATGGAGTAACGATTACACATTTATTTGGGAAAGAGGTTTGGAGAAAGGCTTTAGTGTCAAAATGTTTGTGGCTAGAAGGCTCTATTAAGCATGAATTAAAAAGTCTTTACCTTGATTGTTTCATGAAATTATTTTTTTCTTGTTTGTGGTGCTGGGGTCAAACCCCCAGTGGTAGAGTGTTCCAGACAAGTGCTCTACCACTGAGCTACATGCTCAGCCCTGTTTTGAAGTAAAAATTGCTCCTGGTTGGGTGTAGTGTTTTATTTTATTCTTTTATTCTTTATACATTGGCTTGAAAGTAATTTTGTTTTACAAGATGCAAATGCATAATTTGTGTTGGGTATATTCTTATTTCAGTAGGATGGCTGCATCTGAACTTTCTTAGCTGCTGTTTAATATGTAATACTGCATTGCATTTGTGAAATGACATATTAGCATTTTATGAATTGACTGGTGATGTTAGGATTCTCTTTGAGAAAGTGTTGCAGAAGATACCTGAAATGATAGCTTGGGGAATCACATAATGAGTGGAAGATTGTGAACTCTAAGAAGTGGTTATTTCTCTTGATGAGAAAGCAAGAGGCTTGTCTGCTTTATTTGAGAGATGATGGCTGGCCTATTATTTTTCTGAAGATGACCACTATTGGACATAAGACAATAACTCATAAAAATGGCTAAAGAAATGAATAATTTTAAAAACAGAAAATAATACAGCCAACAGCATCATACCAACCAAGTTTGGTTTCTTTAGATGGAATTAAAGTCTTTGAAACTGATGATAGATTTGGGCTTTTCCAAATCAGTCCAACTTGCCAGTGGATGAAATGCTTTAAGGGCCCCATTCATTGTGCACCAAGAGGTTCTCAATTGCTAATGACCAGCTGGCTGCGTTCTGGATTTGGAGCTAGTTTAGACAGTACTAGTGTGCCAGGGCTACATTTGATGTATTAGCATAGTAGGGTTACCAAGAAAACTTTAAAAACAACCTCGATCTGCCTATTAATACCCCAAAGAAGACTGGAACATTTTTACAGCTCTAGAACAGCCGAACTTTGACACGGCTTACTACTACCCATTTCTGTTCAAACCGCATAAAGGTTTCAGTGCTTGCTTGTGCTTTAGCAGTGAAAGGAATGCAAGGCAGGAGAATTGAGTGTGCGGTCTGGGTGAATCTTCCTGTGTGAAGTTATATCCCTGATAGAGCACAGCCCTGACTCTCCAGATGGCGACTGTGGAATGCTGGCATGATGGCCACCAGCTTAGATTTTCTGGGACTATCCCAACTTCCAAACATGTTCTCTTCCATGTGTCTTGATGTTTCATTAGAAAAACAACTTCTGCAAGCTACCCATCTATCAGTGTCTGTCTTCGTGTCTGCTTTCCCTCCTGTTGTGTGGATTAACTCATTACCCCCAAGTAAGGCCAGCCATCTACTTGTGTACTTGATCCTATCCCCTCTCACCTGCTGCAGGATATCATTCCAGCAATCTGTTCTGCTTCATTCCCATTAGTGCACAATTTTAGTAGTATTTCTCTCCTTACGGGGGGGAGAAGCCACTGAAGCCCCCTCCAGCTCAGTTGCTCCATTTTCTGCTCCCCTTTATAACAAACTATTTGAAGGAGTTGAGTCTTCTCATAGGCTCCAGTTCCTTCCCATTCTCTCTCAAGCACACTGGGCCACAACAGCTACTCCTGTCAAGGTCACCAAAGGTCTCTTGCTGTGTTTAGTTTTGTTTAAAGTCCTTTGGCTGCTTTTCACTTTATTTGAAAACCTGTTTTCCATGTTGGCAGCATTTGGCATTTTCAGGGACCACCTATTCCTGGCTTTCAGGACATCTCTTTCTCACCAGGCAAGCCTTCTTGATTCCTTTGCTGCATGCTCCTTGTCCTTGGGGTCTAGTGTCGCACTGCCCCTAGGAGTGGGCAAGGGCAGGGGAGTACTTAGACAGTAGTTAGTAATTCTGGACGTTTGGTGTGGAGCAGGGAGAGGTAGGCAAGGTGCCTTTATTGGAAGGCCTCATATCGCAGGAATGTTCTCAGAAACATGTCAGGCAAAAGAGAAAATAACACATTTTTGTGTCTTGAAGCTATGCAATAAATTACTTTGGATTATTGCACATAGAGTAGCCAATTTATTTGAGCCAAAAATTATGATTAGAACAATGTTTTCAGCTCTACTTTAATGATATATATATATAGATATATATATATATATCTATATATATATATATTTTTTTTTTTGTGGTACTGGGGTTTGAACTCAGGGCCTTATGTTTGCTAGACAGACACTTCTAGTTGAGCCACTCCACCAGCCTAAGAGTATATTTTATACTCTAAAATATAAAAAGATATGTATAATAAAGAAATTGATCTGATTTAACATTTCAGAACAGATGCAGTCCAGTGGCTTTTTAACTCAGGAATCTCTACACTTATTCCAAAATCATTTTTCTAGAAAGAATTTTAGGAGATGGGGACTGTTACTTATAGACCAGTTCCAGTTCTAAGTACTTTATACCCATGCCTTTTTTATTTTTTATTAACTTTTTAATAGTTTTAACACTTACCTTTTTTTCCAAGACTTAACACCAAACGTCTTTGTTGTTTAAATCATGAATGAGCTGGACATGGTGGTGTGCACCTATAATCCTAGCTCTTGGGAGGTTGACGGTAGGAGTTTGAGGGCAGCCTGGGCTACATGGAGAGATCCTGTCTCAAAAAAAAAAAAAAGTTCCTGAATGAATAAATTAATAGAGATGCTATCTTCAAAGAGCAAAGTATAAAAGACGATACTGACAGTTCTTTTTAGAATTTGTTTATTATTTATGGTGCTAGTGATTGAGACCAAGACCTTGGTCATGCTAGATGAGTACTCTATCACTGAGCTACACTCCCAGCACAACAATATAAAAGTTCTGAAGATGATTTCAAAGCCAGAGTTTCAAAGAGATTTTGAGCATTGGTAGCTTTAATTTAATAAGTGATTGTGACTTTGACTGGAGCAACACATTTTTATGCTTTCCTGTGTGGCAGCAACAAATTCTAAAGTTAGCTGCTGTATAATCTATATCTTAAGAATCTAACACTGTGCCTGGTTGTCATCCTGCAGTAGTTTAGTCATTCTGTTCTTACCTTTGGAAGAAACAGACAATCTGTCTTACAGGTGGCTATGGAGCAACAGCTTTGAATATGAAGCGTGACCCTTTACACATGAAAACCAGAGGAGAAGAGTTTCCTCTGACGCTGGGTCGGGATGTCTCTGGTGTAGTGATGGAGTGTGGACTGGATGTGAAGTATTTCAAGCCTGGAGATGAGGTAGTTAATCCTTTTATTCCTTATTTCTTATTCATTCCTCTTCTAAATGCAAATTTTGTCTGCTTTTTTAGGAAGTATATTCTCTACCACTGACCATTTTTCTTCTTTTTAATAAACATACTAAGCTTTGGCCAGTACCCTCATTTTTTTGATTCTGTTGTTAGATTTTTTCAAATAATTAAAAAGTAGCTTGGCCAAATTTAGGTCTTAAAAATCACAAGATTGGGCTGAGTATGGTAGTGCCCAGTTTTAATCCCATCTACTCAGGAAGAGGCAATCCAGAGGATCATGGTTTGAGGTCAGCCTGGGTAAAAATGTTATAGAGACCCTATCCTAACCAAGAAGCTGGGCATGGTGATGCATGCTATAATCCCCACTATGTGGGAGACATAGTTAAGAGTATCATGGTCCAAGACCAGCCATGGGCAAAAAACATGATATTCTATTGAAAAAAATAACTAGAAAAGGAATAAAAGCAAAAATGGGCTGGGGCATGTCTCAAGTGGTAGATTGCTGAGGTCCTGAGTTCAAATGCTATTACCACCAAAAGAAAAAAAAAAAAAGAATCACAAGGCTTTAAAATCTGTGGGATTTGGATTATCTTATTTTTTAAGGGAGATCCTTTGAATGACAGTTTTTACCTTATAGATTAGATGGTCTTAAAATTGCTAAAGTTTGGTATAATTTTCTGTCACCTGTTACTTTGAACGTTTGTGCAAGAGATTGTAGTGAGCTCATAGAAGCAGTAGTGTTCTTGTAGCTTTCCATAAAGTAGCTAATTTAATCCCTGTGAGATAGTTACCGCTTGGTCCATTTTGTGATGAGGAAGTCATGCTATAAAGTCCCACAGCTAACAAGTGGTGTTCTAACAGCAGAGACTAGGGTCTCACAGGAACTTGTAAGCAGTTCATCAATGCAGCAGGATATGCTGACATTTGCATCCAGCGTGATTTAACTTGAATCCACAGTCATCCTAGTAAATCATTGTATATCATGTGAAACTAACTCTTTTTTTGCATGGTGACTTTTTGGCTATGCAAAAATTCTTCATAGGGTGGGTATGGCTCAGGGAGCACCTTCATACTTACCTTTGGTCACAAAGTACCTGTGTTGCTGATGATGTTGTGTGTCTGGGTTTCAGGTCTGGGCTGCAGTTCCTCCTTGGAAGCAAGGCACCCTCTCAGAATTTGTTGTAGTCAGTGGGAATGAGGTAACACCATTTTTGCCAAAATGCCATTATGAAGTATAAACAAAGACTGACAAATATCTGAAATAATCAGTGGTTTTTCAGATTGGATTCATGATTTATGAGCAGTTTTGAGAGAGCTAAAGTAAAGAATAGGAAATTTTGAAAAATTAAAAAAGTATTCTGTGTCATTTTAATATCATTGCTTAGCAGAGCAGTCATCTTTGCCTCATGAATCAGGGATTTGGAAGTAGATTTAGAACCCTGCTGTGTTTCTTGGTTCCACCCAGCATAAACAGTGGACACTAGGTATAACCAACAGAGACCACAACTAGTCATAAACAGAGGCATGGAGATATAAAGCTGTTTTGAATGACTTAAAAAGCAGGACCTAAGTCGAGCATACTGGCACATGCCTGTAGTCTCATCTACTTGGGAGGTGGAGGCAGGAGGATTAAGAGTTTGAGGCCAGTCCAAGCAAAGTTATTAAGACTGTCTCAAAAAACAAAAATAAAAACAAAAGCATTGTGGTTATAGCTCAAGTGGAAACGCTGTGTGAGGCCCTGGGTCCAATGCCCAGGACTGCAAAAGCGAACAAACAAACCACACCACCAGGAGCCTAGTCCCATATAGTCAGGAGACCTGACAGTTTGAATAGAAGGGGATTAACACTGAGGAAATTGGATACAGATGGGGAAAGGGTGTTACTGAAGCTGGAGAAAGCCTGGAAAGCTTCCTTTCCAGAAAATGGGAGTAAAGAAAGCAGTTGATGACAAACAAATTGGACTATGTTTATGAGAGTTCAAGGTTTATTTAGACTTATGTCTGGGTATAATCAGGACTAATGGCACAATACATGTGGTCTTCTTATAAACAGTGAAGTATCTATCTGATGATGTAGTCTACAAACATTCTTGAGCCTCTCTGAGGCAGGCAGAGAGCTATCTGGAGGATGTTCTTTAGGGATAGTCTTGGAAGCACTGAACCTGAAAGACATAAATTTATGTCTGAAAATAGTTGGAGTGCTGTGAAGGTAGATGTGTGTAATTGTGTTTATAGGTTTGCAAGTCCTTTTCTTTTTGACTGGTCTTCTAATCTAGGTCTCTCACAAGCCCAAATCACTCACTCATGCTCAAGCTGCCTCTCTGCCATATGTGGCTCTCACGGCCTGGTCTGCCATAAACAAGGTTGGTGGCCTGAATGACAAGAATTGCACAGGAAAACGGTAAGTGTTTCAATGGTTGCAGCTAAACTTTCCTTCTTTTCTTCTGTTACTTCTCTACAGTAGATCTGTCAGAAGTACTGGAATTAGAATTACTTACATGACCAGAATTATGCTAACATTTGAAACAATTGCACTTTTTAACCTCATTCCATTGTTTCTCAGCCCAGTCAAATGGGGTTTTCTACAAGAGATGGACAGATGTCTCTAGGACCTCTGAACCTCCTGTCATAATGCACAATTTGTGTGTGAGCCTCTGGAAAGAAGATTCATAGCTTTTATCACATTCCTAAAAATGCTAAGAGTCAATAACTGTGCATTTTCTAAAGAACAATGTCAGGGTGAAAGTGCTTTTTCCTGTGCATACCAGGATTGCTCTCACACATGGCACGGTTCTATGAAAACAGATATGAAGGGACTGTAAAACACTACTGAATAGTCTTGAGTTCTCTTACACTCAAGGGTCGATATCCTTTAGGAACAGTTCTGGTGCTCCAGTGACTTGAATGTATGCTTGTTTAAGTTAGCAACAACACAGGGACAAATGTCTCACTTCTACAGTGGCCCAACATCTGTGGTTTCACTTTCTGTGGTTTCAGTTACCTGTGGTCAGGCATGGTCTGAAAGGTAAGTACAGTACAGTAGCATATTTTGAGCACAGAGAGACTGACCATATTCACATAACTTATTACAGTGTAGTGTTGTAGTGTTTTATTTTATTCTGTTTTTGTTAACTTCTTACTGTGTCTAATTTATAAATTAGACTTTATCCCCTGTGTGTATGCTTAGAAAGAAACTTAAGGTACAGTCTCAGGCATCACTGGGGTTTTGGAATATACCCGCTGTGGGTAATGGGACTGATGTATTTGAGTTCATATCCAGGTTTTGTCACTTTTTAGCTGGGTGCTCTACTCAGTCCGTTTTTTTTTTTTTTTCCAGTAGTGGCGTTTGAACTCAGGGCCTTGCGTTTGCTAGGCAGGCACTTTACCATTTGAGCCACGCCTCCAGCCCTCAGTTAATTTTTTTCTGTGAGTTTTGTTTTGAAGATTAAATGAGATAACACACATGAAGCTGGTGACATAGGTTGTGGCAAGATTGATGAGGCACTCAATCTTGGCTCCTGTCATTAACAGGATTGTAATGTACTTTGCATTTTAGAGAGTTGATATAGAGAAAACTGATGATTTTGGTTTTTGGTGAGAAAACTTAAATATTAAGAACCACTTAGTGATTATAAGGAAGGAGAGAGCTGTAGGTCAAATTATAATAAAATAATGCATTCTTTTTCTTCTTTTTTATTACTAAGGATTGTGCAGATAAGGTCTATGTCATTCTGTTTTTCTGTTTTGAAATATTGCACTTTACATTTAATGTGTGGAGAAATAAAACATTGAGTTTATCAATGTTTAAGCTTTATTTCTGAAAGCATTGTGAAGGCTATGTGCCTAATGAGTTGCTACCATTTATCTTAGAATTCAAGGCAAATATTTATTCTAAAGGTCAACCCTGTTTATTTTTTAAGATTCTGTGGCTTATCTTTTTTGAAGTTGCCATTTTGGTTAAACTCTTTGTTTAAATTAAATTCATTTGACCACAGATTTTTCTAATGGTCTGTCTTAGTTAATGACTTTGCAAAAAATCTCACTCTAGATTTTTAGACTGTTATTATTATTGTAAGCTCTGCAGTGACATTGATGATTTATTGTTTTGCTCCCCCTCCTCCACACACACTTAAAAACATTAAATATTCTGTATCACTCATACTATGGTTAGAGAGCTCTCTTTCTTTTTACTATTTAGGGCTCTCTGGGCATACTTTTAGAATACTGTAGAAAACAGTTTAGAGACAAAGAGCTAGCTGTTTTCCACAGATAAATAGGAGTGAACTCCAGTTTGGCTTTGTGGGTAATTCTCTGGTACGCTGTCATTGTCTGTGTAAGCAGTAATGGCCTGGAACTGGGAAACTGGAACCCTGGGGCCTAGTTGTACTCTGCCATTAACTAATCAGGTGATCACATGCTGGTTATGTTCTCCTTGCCATTTCCTCTGACTTACTGAGTGTAGGGCACTATAGGTGAGGAGAGCTTTGAGAATTGGATTATTTTATACCTTATAAGGCCATTATGTATTATATTGGATTGGATCTGTTCATTGTTTAGCCATGTGTACCAAACAAGAGTGAGAGCCATTGTAAAGAGCCTCAGTAATTCATATCATGGACTTCTGCTTTATTCTCATGTGCATAGTGACCTGGAGGATGCATATTTTGTGAGCAGCAATGAAAGCCTGGAGTTTCAGTCCCTTCAGCCTGCTATAACAAAGTACCATAAACTGGTGGCTTATAAACAACAGAAGTTTATTTCTCACAGTTCTGGAGGCTGGAAAGTCAAACATCAAGACATTGACAGATTTGGTGTCTGGCGAGAGTCAACTTTCTAGTTTGGTAACAGTGCCTTCTTGCTTGTCCTCATATGCAGAAAGGGGCCAAGATCTCTTGGGGTCTCTTACAAGGGTTCTCATGAACCCCATTCATGAGAATTCTGCCCACATGACCTAAACACCTCTCACACCATCTCCTGATGATTAGGGTTTTAACATCTGAATTTAGGGGGAAACAAATACTGCAAACATTTAGACCATAGTACTTAGTACTTGGTGCTTGCAGAAATGGCAGTTTACCGAAATCACTATCCATGAGTTCCTGTGTTAAAATAATGGCCTACTTCTCTAACTACTTGTTTGTGAGAATCATGAGTTGTGTAGCAGCACCTTAAAATACTATAAAAATTCGTTCTTTTTTTTTTTTTTTTTTTTGCTGTGCTGGGAATGGGATCCAGGGCCTCATACTTGCTTTACCATTTAAGCAACATCTCCAGCCCTCTACAAATAGTTTTAATGGAGAAATTACATAATGGGATTTTATTATACTTAAACTCAGAAGTTGTAATTTTTTTTCTCAATTTGACTATTCATTGTGACTGATGGAGCATATTTTGGCTTCTCTAAGCAGTAATTACTCTTCTGTTGGCTGTTAATATTAAGGCATGCTTTGGTTTGCAGAAAGCAGTTCAGTGTTTTCAAGGACTAACAGTCAGTTTTTTTCTAACCAGTTAATAAAGAAAAAAAAAAAAAAGTAAAAACTAACAGTAACAAAACACCCATCAACACCTTGAAAAATTTTGTATGATTTCTTACACCTAACGGCCCTTCGAAATTAGACAAAGCTTTCTAAGGATTTGATGGTGTTTATCTTTTCCTTCTTTGTTACCTAATTATATTTCTGCAACAACTGAGCATCAGTGAACCAAAGGGATAATTTAATTTTGGTATCATATAATAATGTCAATTTTTGGCCACACTTTGATATGGCTAGAATGCCATGTGAAATTATTCTTTTGTTATCAACCCATCCATACTTTCTTCAGATTTATTTGTAGAAACACACAGAGAACTTAGGGCTCTCAAGATGAATAGAAATTTTTTAAACATTGTTATACCTCATGTTTTTTGAGTATGGTAAATCTGATGGTTTTATTTATTGGTAGAGACCTGGTACACTTGAATATTTCATTCTTTGCCTGAAATTCCTTTTTTGCTGAGAAAGTTGTACTTCCCAATTAATAGAAGTATCACAATACAGATTTCACTTTTAAATTATATGCACTTGAAACTCAATGCAGTGAAATAGAAATACTTAACAGTTTCTTTTTTTGGTGGAATTTTACCATGTAAGTGTAAATTAGGTTTCTGATTAATTCTGTTTATAGAATTAGACAGACTCGAACTTAAAAACATTGACTCCCCCCACCCCCTGCAAACCACCACCACCAGTATGCTTATATTGAGATTAAAATGACCACTTGGTAATTCTTACAACTTCCTGCTTTCATATGCCTTCTACTGCTTATTCGTCACTTGACTACCTAATGTTTCTCTTTACTGTGCTCCTGCCACACTTTTGGGCTTTGGGTTTTCATTTGTACCTGACGGGTTGCTTGGTAGAGGAAAATTAAAGAAACCCCAGCCCTTTTCTTGAATTGAAATTGTAGGGTTCTGGAGAAAAGGAGAGTGAGGGTGGAGGCTTCTGCCTGGCTAGTGTGATGCAAATGAATATTTTCCTGAGAGCCCAGGAAGCTTAGTAACAGAGTAGTGAAAACTTCACTACTGGCAATTTGTCTTTTAGGGGTTAGCTTTCTAAAGGCCTGAAATAGCGCTCTCATGAGGTTTAGAAGTTATTTTGCTCTTCAGTGCACTGTAATCTAGCTCCCAGCTTTGCCACTCAACTGTAGCTGCCCCACCAGGTCAGAGCTGATTTAAGTGGCCAAACTCAGTGACACTTTGAAGTTCTTATTCTAATTTGATCTTTGAGGTATCTAGCTCTGTTGATCAACTCCTTAATACTCACTGGATGTGTGGTTTTAGGGACACTAGACTCCGTTATTTTTCTTCTTGACTTCTTGATCATTTCTTTTAAAACCTCCCCCTTCCTCCAGTCCTTTAACTGTGCGTTTTCCAGTGTTCCACTCCATCTTCCTCTGTTGTCTCCCAGGGCTATCTCTTCTACTCCCAACTTTATTTAGATTTTGCTAACTTGCAGATCTGTATTTCTAACCCTAACCTCTTACTGAGTTCTAGTTAGCTATTCCCTTTGTATCTCAAACTCAACTTGTGGACAGCAAAACCATCTACCACCCCAACTCTTCCTCTGTATTCCTAATGTCAGTTAATTGTGCTTTACTTTAAGCCAAAACTGCACAAGTCATTATTGTTCATGCCATGTAAAATTTAGATTGCTGTCAACTTTGGAACAATGTCTTCTCAAGTTTCTTTTATATATAAACTGTAGGATTGCAAAACATCTCATCTTTTTTTGTGTAGAGAATAAGCCTAAAATACTATTGGATTTTAATTAACAACCCTTATTAAGTAGTTGTTGACATCTTCCCTATTGGGGTGTTTTGGAAGTTTTTATATGTTTTAATTGGAGGACTTTTCCACAGGCT